GGAAAGTAAAAAATAAGCATTTATTAAGCACCTACTATGTGCCACACAGCGTGGTAAGCACTTTACAAATATTATTTCATTTGATCCTAATAACAACCTTGGAAGATAGGTTTACTATAATTCCCATTTTACAGTTGAGGAAACTGAGGCAACCAGAGGTTACATGACTTGCCCAAGATCACACAGCTAGTAAGTGTCTTAAGGACAAATTTGAACTCATCTTCCTGACTCCAGGCCCAGTATACTGTGCCACCTAGCTGCCTCAAGTCTCAGCTAAAATCCTAACAGCTCAAGAAGTCTTTCTAAATTCCCTTCAATGACAGTGCCTTCCCTCTAAGATTATCTTCAACTTATCCTGCATATAGCTTGTAGGTACATAATTGCTTGTAGGTTTTCTCTCTCTCATTAGATTATTAGCTCTTTGAGAGGAAGCACAATTTTTACCTTTCTTTGAATCCCCAACATTTAGCACAGTGCCTGACACATAGCAGATGTTTAATAAATGCTAGTCAACTTGACATGAGAAAATGCATGACTGGAAAAGGATGTGGGCTAGGCATACAACAAAAGAAAGGGATAACAGAAGGAGAGTTAGGGCTGTTCTGATGGTCACAAAATGAAAAAAGACACTGAGGAGGGCTCCCAGAGCACAGGATAGATTATCTACAGAAAATATTATTAGCAATAATAACTGACATTTATACAGCACTTTAATATCTGCAAAGAATTTTGCATAGATTTTTCAAATCTGATCCTCACAACTCTGCAGATTTTTGTGTGCCAGACTTATGATTTCATTGTTATAGGCAACTCCTTTGGAAGAAACTCCTACCAATGAAGATTTGCAACTAAAAAAGCAAGGAAACTGAGACTTTAATAAATGATTTGACAATGATCACATATATATTTAGTGTCAGACATGGCATGAACCCAGGTTTCTCTTGAATCTCACAGTTCATTTCATTAAACCATCCTACATCTATCTATGGAAACACATAGACAATAATCTCAAGGGATAAGATGTAAACGAGAAGAGACTGTACCTCTAAAAATTACCCATACTGATGAAGTCACAGGTGTCACCTGGGGAACCATATTTTTTTTTTAGTTTTATAGCTTTGCTATTCTGGGCTAGAAGTACTTCTCATTAAGTTTACATTACCATACAGGCACAATGGAAATCTCACCAAATTACAGATTCAATAATATTAAAAATAGAAACAACATTACAAATATCATTATAGCAAATCCCATTTGACCAATGCATTTAGTAAGTGATTGCTATCTGCCAGGCACTGTGCAAAGCACTGGGAATAAAAAGTAAGGGAAAAAATCCTGCTCTCAAGAAGTTAACTGACTAATGGGGGAGAAAACACACAAACAACTATACACACATACAAGATGTATACAGGATAAATTAAAGATGATCTAGGAAGGAAGGCACTAGCATTATGAGGGACCATTAAGGCTTCTGGTAGAAGGTAGGACATTAGCTAACTTGAAGGAAGCCACAGAAACAAGGAGATATGAGTGAAGGTTGAGAGAATTCCACATATGGAGGATAATCAATGAAAATGCAAAAAGTTGGCAGATAAAGTGACGTGCAAAGAATAATGAGGCCAGTGTCACAGGATTGTAGAGTACATGGAGCAGAATAACTTATAAAAAGACTAGAAAGGTAATATGGTTATGAAAGGCTTCAGAGGCCAAAGAGAGGGTTTTGTATTCAATTTTCAAGATTTTTATCTCCAAATCAATGGAGTTTACTGAATGGGCTAAGCAAGGAGAGAGGGAGTGACATAGGGAGACCTGTTCTTTAGAAAGATTATTTTAGCAGTGGAATCGAAGTCAGATTAGAGTGAGGAGACTTGAGGCAGGGAGACCAACCAGTAGGCTAATACAATAGTGCAAGAATGAGGAGATAAGGGTCTTTGAAGAGAAAAGAAAGCATATTTGAGAGAAGTTGCAAAGGTAAACAAGAATTGGTAATTGGATGAGGGGAGAGGGAAGTGAGAATTGGTGTTGGTGATGACAAGGATGATGGGAACCTTTTCTAAAAGGAATACTTCCCTGAAATATGGTTGCAGGGGAAGGGCTATCTCCACTAGGGTCTGAGGTGAGGTGATAGTTGATCAAAGTGGAAGTGATTTCACTCACTTGGCACAGGCTGCCTCCTGTTTTTCCTTCAGGGTCCTTTGCTGATTTAGTTAGCCTGGATTGTCTGCAGTATAGGTAACCACAGGCAATTGGTGGGGATGGCTGACTCTGTGTCTGACCCCTGTGTTTTGGCATTGATGCTGGAGAGAATAGGCATCAGCTGCTCAAAAAATTTTCCCTATATGGTTCCCACATTTGAAATACATTAACAAGCTCCTATTTTAAAACAAATACCGCATTGTGGGGTTTTCACATTTTTGTAATATTTTTAAATTTTCAATTAGTCCAAAGAGCAACAAAAAGATATAGTAGATGAAGAATTTCAACACTGGTAATTTGTAATGAAGAAGTTTAGAACATATCAAGGGCATGTGTTCTCAGGAAAAGAAGTGAGTGAAGCATAACATATAGGCAAGCCAAGTATCCACTGATACTCACAAAATATTAAAAGAACCACATAAAGGCCTCCAATAGTAACTGATGGGCCCTTTATGAAGGATATAAAGAAAGACAATGACAAGAATCATACATGATGGATAGATGCAATCTTCAAAAGTAGGAATACCTACACTGATGAGATCACTGATCCATTTAAGGAATTTTTTAAAATTATTAAAACCAAGATCTATCATTACATCTAAATAATGAATGTGGTTATAAGGCAATAATATTTATTGCAAGTTTATTTTCTAGTATAATCCCTTCAAAGTTAACAGAAATTTCATTCTGAAAAATATCCAAGTACTTTTCATGTAAGAAGCAATGAAGTAATGGAAAGGACCTGGATGAAGCCAGGAAACTTGACTTTTTTGACATTTACTTGTGATGTGTTAAGTGTAGTGTAACTATGGACAGGTAATAAAATCACAAAATTTCAGGAATGGAAGGCACCTCACATATCCAAAAAGGAATCAACACATTGGAAAAGTTGTCATTCACCCTCCAGGAAAGAAGGCCCCATCACTTCAAGTCAATTCATTCTACTCTTGAATAGCTCTAATTGTGATATAAGGCAAAAATATCACACTTACATTTTCTTCCTGCACCTATTGCTCCTAATTCTCCCAAGAAGGGAAAACCAGTCACTGAACCTCTCTGACTCACACTTTTCACATTTGCTGAAATGGAGATAATGTCCATAAGATTGATTTCACTGCATGGTAGAATGATTACTTCACAGCACAGTAGGAAGAGCACTGGCTCTAGAATCAGAGGATCCCTGCTCAAATTCTCTAATGCTTACTACTTCTGCAACCTTTGGCAAATCACTTAACCTCCATGGGCTTCAGTTTCCTAATCCATAAAATGGGAAGGCTGGACTAGGAAGAACTTAAGGTCCCTTCTACTTCTAAATCTATGATTCTCTAAATAACATATTTTAAATAATTTGCTAATGTTAATACCACTTATGTCAAATATTGTGGGCCTATAAAAATGTATTCAAAATATTGGATATTCAATTGCAATAAATTAGCTTGTGTTTCTAAAAAATGAAGTTGTAAATTCCATTTTACTCCCATAAAGGAAAAGTTGAAGGCAGAGCCAAAACCAAGGCATGGAAACAAAGTCGCACCTCCACCACCACCACCACCCCTGCCCCAGGGTCTCTTGTTCTGAGGTCCAAGATCTCTACCTGAGGCCTCCACCATTCTCAACTAAATTTCTCTTAAAAATTTAAGTTGAGTGGCAGCTAGGTGGCACAGTCGATAAAGCATTGGCCTTGGAGTCAGGAAGAGCTGAGTTCAAATCAGACACTTGACACTTACTAGCTGTGTGACCCTAGGCAAGTCATTTAACCCCAATTGCCTAATCAAAAGCAAAAAAAAAAGTTAAGAACATTTTTTGTCTGCATGCCCCGAATGTCAGAAATCTTAGGTCAACAGCCGATTTTTTTTTAAATTCATTTCCTTTGATTTCACTGGTGTAGAGAGTTCCTGCTGCAGAAACTCCTTCCACTAATATAGATCTGCAACTAATCTATTACATATATGGTCTTGGAGGAGTTTTCTGGGGCACTGAGTGATTAACTAACTTGTCCACAGTAATGAAGCTGTGTTAGATGCAAGACTTAAAGTCAGCTCTTCCAGATTTCTGGGCCAGCTCTCCATCCACTGCACCAAGCTGCCTCTCCTGACTGAAAATGTTGGGGAAAAAAATCCTTCTCTTACCAAAAAAGGAAAAAAAAAGGTAAAGATATAATATTTGATGATTAAGACAGCAACATTAGAATACAAGCAAAAATTATGCCACTCTGATGACTGTACTTCCACCCCCCAAAAAAAAGCCCTCTAATTACACTGAAACTGAGAAGCATTCTGAAAAGTCTTAATCACAGGAAGTGAAACTTCAGAGTAATGGGGCCATTCTTTTCCTGATGGGGGAGGAGTATTGGAGCAATGAGGTTAGGATGCCTACAAAAACAACAACAACAAAAAATCAGGTAAAATATTTAAGGGTTTAGAGTAACTGTTTCAAACTTGTCTTTAAGTGTTTCACAAACCATTGTTTCCAGGATGTATCTAATTATCCACTCTATTTATTTATTCCCATTAGACCAAGAAGTCTTTGAGAGCAGGGACTTTTATTGCCTCTGAATCCTCTGCACTTAGCACAATGTCATAGCACACAGCAGGCACTTTATTTTTCGCTGTCGTTTACTGCTCAGTTGCTTCTTTCGTTGCTTTTTACACAGTGAATGCTAGATGCTCAGGTTTATGACTAATCGAAGTTAAGTTTACAGACTCTGAACATTATGCATTTACAAAACGTTATCTATGAGTGTCATTTCAGGATCGTGTGCTGTCATCTGAGCATCAAAAAAGTAACAAAGTCGTAAAAGTTACCTCCCGACCGCGGTGGCACAGCTGTTGCTCAGACGCCGGAAAGTCGGTGTCCTGGTAAATCAGCTCCTTGATATCACGGACCGTGGCGGGGGGCGGCACCTCGTACGTCCTGCAGCCCACGCAGCCGTGGAGGACAGTCACTCGCGTTAACCTGGGCGGAACACAAAGAGGTCCATTGAGCCGGGGCGGGCGGACGGCGCTGCGCCAGCCCGGGCTCACGGGGGACTCGCGTCCAGCCCGGGGCAGGACGGCTGACCCACGCGGGGCTCCGCGCGCCCCGGGGGACCCAGGCCCACCCCGGGATCCAAGACCCCCCCGGCGCGGAGTGTGATGAGTCACGAGCCGGGTGGGAGCTTTACCTGTCCCCCATGGCGAGCCGTCCCCAATCGGTGGCGCAGAAAGAAGCCCCGTTGGGATTCGGCGGCTGGGATGGGGGGGCGGGGGGAGAGATGGGGGGCGGGAGTCTCCAGCCGCGGCCTCAGCTGCCCCTCCCTCCGTGGAGCGGGGTCGCAGACAGTCCCGCCGCCGCCTCCTTCACTGAGGACCAGGCAAGACCCCGCCCAGGGGATGCCCAGAACGAGGGAGCCGGAGACAGAAAAGGAGTCCGCATCCCGCCCGCGCGCCACCTCACGTGGCCCCGCCTGGCCCGCGCCAAGCCCACCGCCCCTGCCTCTGAGGTAGAAATGAAAGAGGAGGAAACGGCGCCGGCGCCGGCGCCGGCGCGCGCACCCTCCTCTCACTCCGCCCGCCGACACCAGGCGCGCGCCCCGGAGAGGGAGCGTCTTGAGGAGGGAGCGCGCGCGCCGACCCGAAACCGTTAGTCCAGGAGCCCCGCGGCGCGCGTCCTAGCGGCTGTCTCCCGGAGGGCTCCCGAGCACGCCTCACCGCCTCCTTTCTGGCACGCCCCTCCCCTCCGTCCCGCCCCTCCCCTCCCTGTTCCGCAGAATCAGACTCTCGGTTGGTCTGGAGAGAAGGGGTTCTTGCCCTTCCGGGGCCTCCGTGTGTGTGCCCCTGTCAGGCCTTACACATCTTTGTAACACAAAGTCAGCACGTGCTGCCCACGCCATGTGGGCAGGAACACCCTTCAAAAAACTATTACAGTCATTCTTCACTCCCACCGCCTTCGAGGTGCATCAGGTTACTTCTTTACAAAACAGGCTAAGAAAACCACTTCTCCTGGAGGACTTTACCTTTTAATGACCAGCAGGGAGGGATGGCTATAGGCCTCTTATTGCCGCAATCTATACAACAATGCAGAAGCGGCACTTTTCGTTGTAGAGTTCAATATACAATCAGACAGTCAATGAGCCTTTATTAAGCTCCTACTATGTGTCAGGCACTGCTCTAAGCTGAGGACTGAGCTAAGCACTGAGGATAGGAAGAATGATAAGAGATAACCCCTGCTCTGGAGGGCAAAGCACTTAGCTTCTGAGGCTCTATCATCTAAATATGGAATAGGGGTGTACAGGTGATGGCTAAGGCTACTTCCAGATCTAACCTTCTGTGATACGAGTTAGACAGTTTGGTTTCCCCATCCCTGCTTTAATCTTCACTGTTTATATGTACACTTACCCTCAATCTGAAATCTTTTTTTTAACTGAAAATTTTAATCTCCAGTGTTCTTATAAAGAATGCTTTTTTGTTTAAAAAAAAGCTTCATTTTTGCTGTTATTTTCAACATTTTAATATATCAGCAACATGCTTCATCACATCCCTCTCCCTCCTCTTCTTTCATGGCTCTTATCTGTCTGTCTCTTATTTACTTTCTTTGCCTTCTTTGCCACCCTACTTCTCTTCCCTCTCTTTCCTCAATTCCTACTCTTATCCTAACATCTTCTCCCTTCCTCTCTTGTCTTTTTTCTCTCTTTTTTTCTCCCTGCAAGGGAGAGATGGAAAATATAGGGAGATGTTTTTTTAAAATAGCATGCATTGTGATGAAATACTGTTGTGCTATAAGAAATGATGGGGATGGTTTCAGAAAAAACTGGGAAGAGATGTATGAACTGATGCAAAGTGAGATATGCAAAATCAGAACTATTTATACAGTGACGACAATATTGTAAATATAATCAACTTCGAATGACTTAGCAACTCTAATCATCACAATTACCAACTACAGTTCCAAAAGACTCATGATGAAATATGCTATCCATATCCAAATAGAAAGCTGTTACATATTGAAGCATATTTTTCTTTTTTGGGCTAGTGAGGGATTTTGTTTTGCATGCCTAAATATATTTGTAATGGATTTTATCTTTCTTGCTTTCCAAATGGGGTCACAAAGAGTCAGACGTGACTGAAATGACTCAACAACAAATGGGTGGGAGGAGGAGGAGAGAATTTGCAAAGGAAATTTTAATTTAAAAAATAAAAGCATCCGTTAAACTCATTTCTTTCTTTCCTTGTGTTCATCATAAGGCAGAGTTTTAATCATGTCACTTCTCTGAAAAATTTTAGTGGTTCCCTAATACCAATAATACAAAGCAAAAACAAATCAAGGAAAGCATTTACATATGAAAAATAAAATGCAAGTAAAATATTAATTCCTCACCTTAGTGTTTAAGGCCTTCCACAACCTGGTTCTAGCTTACCTTTCTGTCCTTTTCATACTGTTCCCCTTCATGCATTCTCTATTCCAGCCTAATTAGACTACTGGCTGATACTGAAGTTAACATTTCATCTCCCAACTTAACTTTATAACATTCTATCTACTCTTCATCCTTCTCAGAATCTTTGTAGCCTTCAAAAAATACAATGTTATAAAGAGTAGAACTTTATATATGTCTAATAAAAACTAAAGAAATTCAACGTTCAGTTTGAAATCAGAGTATGTAAATGGCTGAAAATCTGTTTTGCCTTGCTAGATATCCCTTGCTGCTAGTATTCTCTCATTTCTCATTTGTATTATACTTACTTGGATACATACTGCATCTCTGTCTGTACCAGCTCCAGTAGAATATATGTTCCCTGAAGGTAGAGACTTCTTTGTTTTAATCTTTAAATATCACAATGACTCGTACATAATAGGCACTGAAATAAATGTTTGTTGAATTCAATTCCTTTTGAAATTGTAATGAGGGTTTGTTGCATGTTGGGGACACCTAAGATGATGACACACAAAGAAGATGCTTGTGGATTTCTTTGGGGAGTTTGGAGGACTGGATCATGTGTGATTTTCTACATGGAGCTACCACATGTTTGTAAGAAGCTTTTTTTTTTATGGCCTGTCTAGCCAGAACAGCTTGACTCAACAATGGCCAGGGCCTTTGCTTTTTGCTGTATTTTCATGTGACAGTGAAGGACTGCACTCCTACTATGAGGAAAAGATGGAAAGAGCTTAAGGGCTTCTTCCTTCTTTCACCCCCCACTTCTACCTTAGGTCATATGACTCTGAGAAATAGGCCTGGGTCTGCGACCTTTTTGTTCATTCTTTTCTGTTCAAAGTGCAGAGAGAATGGAGTCTCTGTAATCTGGCTTGTAATCTTGAGGCAAGCCATGCAGATCCAACCGTCCAGGTATCCAGGCTAGATAGTGCAGCCAACAGTGATGCCTGGAGCATAAGTCAAAGGCTCCAGCCCAGGGGAAGCCATCAGTGCTGGCTTTGGAATTGAATTTGGTGGGAATAATGCTATATAGGAACTGAGCTAAGCTGTGAGTCTAGTTTCCTCTCCACCACCTCCAAGTGACCGAGGTAGTATAGGAGTGCTTATGCTCCCAGATAATTGGAAAATGTATTTTGTTCTTGCCATATTGCTGAAGCAGCTATTCCTTCATAATAGCTAATCAGATATTAAACAGTTGAATGGAACTTAGATGGTGGTCATCAGGGTCCATAAAAAGGGTTAAGTAACACAGCCATTAGAGACTTGGGCCAGTCATGTAGCAAAGAGACTCTTCAATCTATTCATGGTACTCTAATGTTTGGGATACAATATGACAGACCTGACCCGTGGGGAATGGGGCAAGAGCAATCTATATTATAGTTACTTGGATCTACAATGTCTGCTCTGGATTCCTACCCAAGAGATAAGAATAGAGTGTATAGAGAAATCTAGGGGGGAAAATATCAAAATTGCAAAGTTTAAAACCTTTGAGAAAATATTATTTTGTTTCCATATCTGTTTATCTGGTTTCTCTAGAATGCAAGGATCTGTCTTCTTTATTCTGTATAAAGTGAGAATAGATCTTAATGGATATTTCTTTGATTTTAAAAGTTACTCAAATGAAACATCTTTTATCCGATAAATCAACAGGCACCTATGTGCCACGCAGTATGTTGGGCACTGGGAAATAAAGACATAAGCAAAATAAAGACATAAGCAAAACAATCTTTTTCCTCACAGAGTTACATCCTATTAGGAAAGATAATATAAAAAGGGGAGAGCACTAACAGAGAGGATCAGGAAAGGCTTCATATAGAAACTGGCACTTGAACTGAGTTTTGAAGGAAACTGAGGATTCTAAGAGGCAGAATCACATTCCAAGTATTGGGAATTGCTGTGAATGGAGATTCACAAATAAATGAATGGAAATAAGAGCATTAAGTACAAGTAACAAGAAAGCCAAGTTGACTAGCTTGTAGAGAGCAAGAAGAGGACTGTGTAATAAAGTTGGAAAGGTAGATTGTGAATAAGTTTTGCAATATATATGTGGCCAAGCTTCTGGTAATGAGTCTTTCCAAAATTAGCCGGGCTGGTCCTCCAACAACAAACATATAGCCTTTGCCAGGCCCATACTCAAAGCTTTTCTAGCTTTGTGTTAACCTGCCAAATCTTGTGATTTTCTGGCATGGCCTTTAGGAAACAAGGGTCACCTCCATGCCACAAGAGACATCAAAATAATGTAATATGTATAAATGTATTAATTGAAAAGTCTGCTACTGGAAGAGTGTTCAGAATCAAGCCGATAGGTTAGGATTAGCACCCCTGACCCATTTGTCAATTTCAGGAATCTGAATTTCCCAGGGGAAAAGAATAACTGTTCTATCTATCTCTTTTTTCCTTCTCCTCAGATCACAGAATTACTGCATTTTGGATCTGGAAAGAACCTCAAGGGCCATCTAGTTCAACCATATATAAACAAGTTTCCACTACCTGCATAACTGGAAAGCTGTGTGGAAGATGCATTAGAGAAGAGAGAAACTGGATCTTG